TTCAGCGGAGCAACGACGCGGGGCACCGAGCCCGCAGCTCCCGCTGCACGTCGGATCGCACCTGCGGGCGGGTCGTCGGCCAGGCTGAGCCATCCACGCGGGGTCGGAAACCCCGAGCTCGGAGGCCCAGAGGTTGGCACCAATACTAAGATCGGCGGTGTGCCTCAACCGAGGGAGGATGACCCCGATCTCGGTGATGGCGGTAAGATTCGGGCTTTCTAGGTGGCCAGAGGAGAGTACCACCAACACCGAAATCTAGGATCATCCTCCCCTACTGGACGCACCCCCGTGTTTTGACGTTGGTGCTCATTTCCAAGCCTCCAACAACCCGACGTCACCACACGAGCCTGCTGTAGCCAGGGTCGCAGAGTCGCAAACTCCTCCCGCTCCCCGGCCGCTTCAGACCTCTCCTCTCGCCCCTGGCTGTCGCTTCGCCCCTCACCCAGTCTTCCCTGTGGTTTTTCCACGGCGCGAGGAGGTCTAGGAGGGGGGAGGGCTCGGCCACGACGGCGACGACCACGAGCGCGCGGCCGAGATCGGTCCAGAGTCGCTCCACGGACTCTTTCCAGGGGTTCATCCTGGGCGGGTCTTCTCATCCCGCATTGATCTCTGGCGCTCCCTCCGCAGCTCCCCTCTGCGCAAGGGACGTGCTGCGTGGGCTTTCGGATCGCCAAAGCCCGGACGCTGTGGCCAAGTCTTGGCCCTCGGGGGACCCGATTTAACCTTTCGCTTCCCGCCCAGATAGGCGGGCCCGCCCTCGCAGGTACAGTCAACCCGCATAGTAAGCATGGGCAGCCTTCCCAGAGGGTACCCTTGCACCCTTGCCTCCTCGGTGCATCCTTGGCACTTTCGTTGGCCGCGCCCCGCTCGAAAAGCTTCGAAATGGGCTCGGCGGCGGAGGAGGAGGAGGAGGAGGAGGAGGAGGAGGGAGGTAGGGAGGCAGGGAGGGAGGGAGGGAGGCAGGGAGGGAGGGAGGAGGAGGAGGAGGAGGAGGAGGAGGGAAGAGGAGCAGGAGCATCCTTACCACGCGTCCTTATGATATACTGGCCGACCGTAGTGAGGCTCGGCCGGAAGGGCCGCTGCGTGTCTGGCTGCCGCGACCGCGCCCCCCCTCTCGGCGGGCCGTGCCTCCCCCGTGCACTGCCCCGAGCTCTGGGGCGCCGCAGCGCTTTCACACGCGGGTCTCTTCTGGCGCGCCCTGGGCGCTCCAAGCCGCATTTCGTTTTGGTAATCTCCCGAACAGCTGCTGCTGCCAGAGCGTGAGGCGCACCCTGGCCAACCATCGCCTCGAACCGCTCCCTCCTCCTCCTCCTCCTCCTCCTCCTCCTCCTCCCACTCCTCCTCCCACTCCTCCTCCCTCCTCCTCCTCCCTCCTCCTCCTCCTCGTCCTCCTCCTCCTCCTCCTCCTCCTCCTCCTCGACTCCATCATTTCTTTCATCCTCCTCCTCTTGCTGCGCAGACGGAGCCGGCTCCAGAGATGCCGAGGGAAGGTGGGCTTTGGGGCCTCGGAGGAGGCGAAGTCCAGACAGAGGTAGGCCCAGGTGGGGACCGAGCACTTCGTATGCATTTGTTCCGTATGGATTTTAGCAGCCTCCTATCAGGAGAGGCTGAGTCCAGGCGGAAGAAGCCCAGACGCAGACCGATCACTCCGTATGGATTTACTCCGTATGGACTAGCCCCTGGTCGTGATCCGCCAGCCATTGTCGTTCGGTAGCAAGTCATGAGGGCCCAGTGTGTCCGTGTATTTCCGTCCCTCGATTTCATTGTTGTGCGCTAGAGCCTGGTAATCGAGGAGAAAGCGCCGATTCGGAACACATTAGCGTCGGTTTAGCGCCGACTAGCGTCTGTTAGCGTCGGGTAGCGTCGACTCGCAAGAGCCAGCAAGACGGCATCCTTGTTCGTCGGCGGCGAAGCAGATGCAGTCCGCACCAGCGCCGGGTTAATCGGGGCAACCGATGGCAAATTGTCCGGCGTGCAGGAGAGAGAAGAGGGAAACGAGGGAGCCGCGCGAAGGGAGGAGGGGGAGGGCGTTCGAAACAGCACGATGGCACAGGAGGCTCCCATGTGCTCGCTTTCTTATTCATTGTTTTGCCGATCGGCGCGGGCCCTCGCCCCCCCTCCCCCTCCCCATCCCCATGGAGTAAATCTTGGCTGTTTTTGGCGCCTGTTTCGAGCAGGTGGGGTCTCCACCATGCCATGAGACGCACGGCTGCAAACAGTCGCACTAAGCAGTGGTCCGCAGCCAGACCGCTCCCCTCCCCCCCCTTCCGCCAAATGTCGAAACTCCTAATAATAAGACGCTCGCCATGCGTTGCCACTGGGGCGTCGCAAGCGTCTCACCCCCAAGGAGTGCGCCATTGTCACCGATATATGTCCGAGATGTGCCCGATCCTATCCGATTTCGCGATTCGACTCAGCCCATGCCTGACAGGAGGCTCCTAAGCGTTGCCACGGGGGCGTCGCAAGCGCCTCCCGCCCCCAAGGAGCGCGCCATTGTCACCGACCCCGACGCGGTGCCGAGGCGCGCCGCGGCCTTTGCCCGCGCTCGGCCCGGCACCTTCGCGCCAGCGGCCCGCCTCGTCGCGTGTGTGCCGCCGAGCGGTGGCGGTGTGCGGTGCGCGGCCGTCTCGCTTCTTTCGCCAAGTGGAAACCCAGGAGGAGGAGGAGGAGGAGGAGGAGGAGGAGGAGGAGGAGGAGGAAAAGATCATATCCTCGGAGATCTGGGCCTGCGGCAGCTTCGGAGCAAGAAGAAGAGCAGAGCAGCATCCCATGCCAGCCTTCCATACCGTGGAGACCCATGCCAAGAAACGCCCTGCTTGCCTAGAGTGTGCCTTGGGTTTCATGGGTCTCCATGGCTTTGCTAGAGCGTGACGTTCCAACACCAACAATCCATGGACGTCCTGGGGTCTCATGATTGGGTTTCTTGTGGAAGGTTTCTTGTGGTCGGGCTCCTACTATACGGTAGGTTCATACGGCGTTGGCGCGCCGGCGATGCGGCGCGGAAGCACCGAGGGACACGGTTACGCCGCTGGACCCGACGGAATTTAACCTTGCACGATCGGGGCCGCGATCGATGCGAAGTTGGACAATCGATGCGGTGTCAAGAACCACTGCGCGCGCCGACGCCGCACGAACTTACCGTACGGAGTGTGTGTGTGTGTGTGTGTGTGTGTGTGTGTGTGTGCGTGCGTGTGTGTGTGTGTGTGTGTGTGTGTGTGTGTGTGTGTGTGTGTGTGTGTGTGTGGGGGGTTCCGCCACGTGGGGTTTTCCATCAGTGCTGCATGGTCCATTCCTGGCTCATGCATCGTCCATTCGAATGCTCTGGTACGGCTGGCATCCACTACGCGTGGGCATATTTAGGCCAGAATGCGACGCTCGAGCGTTGTCAGTTGGCGGTAATTCGGCGGCCAGCCTGGGCGGGGGGGAGTGAGACGGGTCGGGCCTTCTCAGAAGGCTCGGAAGTCCCTCCTCTTTCTGGGAAGTTTTCTAAGCCTTCCCCGAAGACGCAGAAAGCTTCTCAGAAGGCTCGGGGGCTTCTGAGACGCCCCGCTGCCTTCTGAGATGGCCTTCTCCTTCTCACTGCCCGCCCTCGCTCGCCGCCAAATTTGGGCCAGAACGCGACGCTCGAGCGTTGTCGGTTGGCGGTGGCGCATCGCCCAGCCATCGCTGCCCGCCGTGCCACGTCGCGGGCCATCGCCCAGGGTTCGGAAGTGGATGCCCATGTTTGGCGCCGCGAAAGGGGAAGGGCAATAAAAAGGGCCCAATGATTAAGGCGGGCACGTCCCTCGACAGGGAGAATATCCAAAATAGTCGAAAAATAGTCATGGGACAATTTTTGTCAATTTCCAATAATGTTCGGAGTACCCTTTGACTATTTCTCAATTTCTCTCTCTCATTTATATATATATATATATATATATATAGTTATAATGCACATATATACATGCATGCATGTACACTCATATAATGCTTATGTTTATGTGTGTATGTATATATGTATATAGGTACATCTGTCTACACACATATGTATATACATATATACATGTATATATATATGTATATCCACATATAAATGTATGTAGGGGGACATGCCCGACCTACCTTTGAGGGCCCGAGAAGTGCACCCTTCTTCCCCCTTTATCTCCCCCCCATCAAGTGACGCTCGAGCGTTGTCGGTTGGCGGTGGCGCATCGCCTAGCCATCGCTGCCCGCCATGCCACGTCGCGGGCCATCGCTCGGGGTTTTGGTGCTCTGGTGCTCGGGCCTCTCGTGTCCTTTTTGTCTTTGTCCTCTTCCTCTTAAGGTTTTCCGTGTTGTGAAGATCGCCGCGCTGAGCGGCGCTCCGGCGCCACACCCGCAGGACCCTTGACGGTGCCCACGCGCGGGAGTGTCAGTGTCAGTGTCAGTGGTGCACCTGGCCGAACGCGGGGCCTGTCAGCGTCGGAACGTCGCGTGGTCGGACGCCGCCGTCCTCCTAGCGTTTGGAGCTCGGCTTGGCGGCACGCCAAGATCGGCGGCGAGCCTGGGGAAGTGAGAGGGAGGGGGCCTTCTCAGGAGGCCCAGAGGGTCTCACGTTCTTGGAGGATGTTCTTTTGTCTTCGGTTTAGGTCGGGCACGTCTTCCTACAGGCGGATTTGGGAGGAAAAATATTGAGGGGAACGCAGCCCAGCAAGGTCCCCACCGGTTCACGTTACATGCCGGCGCAGAGATCCGTAGTGAAGGCAGGGGGCAGGGAATGCACCGTAGTGAAGACAGGGAGCAGGGAATGCACCCGTAGCCATTTTGGCTCAAGCGGTTTAGGCTCAAGGGGGGGTTTTGCGAAAGGCCCCTTTGGGCAATCATGGCCAGGCCATGGCATAAAGCAGGGTCTCTGTCGGATGGGACTCTTCTCGAAAGACTCGAAGGCACTCGCCTTATAGAAGCGCTAGCTTACGATGATGCGGGGGAACCCCAGGGATCGTATCTGTTAGACGTGTTGAGCGCAGGCTGCTCGCCCAGAGGCGGGGTGAGCATCAAAGCTAAGTATATCGTAGCTTCTGACGATTATCTCGCGCACTGGATGCTGCGTGGCGGGTGGTTCGAGAATGCATCCTACCACGTGTGCCCCGACGACAGCGCGGAGTGCCAGAAGCACCAAAGCCGGAACGATATCCACAGAGGTTTGGAGGCCGATCGCAATCGACGACATTGAGAATGACAAGATTTCATAGGATAGGAAACGTATTTTTTCAAAACCAGCCGTTTCAAACCAAAAACACAATTTAAACAGATTTTTTTTGTTTTTTTTGTTTTCCTGCGTGTCTCCCCTGGGTGCGGATAAAGTGTGTTCAATGTCGGTCATTGCTGTCTGCAATTATGATGGGCGCGCTGTAATGGATCGCCAACTCACACCACTCCTAATTACCATGCTCCAGTTCTCGCCCTGTTCCGACCCCATGATTATTCCCCCCGGACACTGCTCCGCGTTAAGTTGCTCTTACGTATATTTTTTCATCCCGTTCAACTGCCATTGATTCCAACTCTAATCTCGCTGTACTTTGATGCATAGGCGATGCGCCATGGCGTCGCATCCTGCATCGTATCAAATCGCCCAGAGCTAATGAAGTTTCGTCGCCCTCATGTCCTGAGGTGCCATCCCACGCCATCCCATCCGAGGAGGAAAAGGAGGAGGAGGAGGAGGAGGAGGAGGAGGAGGAGGAGGAGGAGGAGCCAGGAGGAGGAGGAGGAGGAGGAGGAGGAGGAGGAGCAGTCGTCCTTGGATCGTGGCCCTGGGAGCGAACGCATTGTAGCCTGTGTCTTTGGATCGTGGCCGTGGCATTGAACATGACATTGTACGGATCGTGGCCTGGGGAGCTAGCCTTAGGCCTTGGGAGGTTGTGCGTTGTAGTATGTGTCCTTGGGAGCGAGCAGCAGTGGCCACCGTTCCAGTGGACAGTTAAATTAGAGTTTGCGTGGGCGTCCTCCTTTTCCTCCTCGTCCTCCTCTTCCTCCTCGGAGGAGGAATCACACTTGCGTGGGTGCGAATGCTCCTGGGGTTGGGAGGAGGAGGGGGAGGAGGAGGAGGAGGAGAAGGAGGAGGAGGGTGAGGAAGAGGAGGGGAAGGAGGAGGAGGAGGAGGAGGAGGACGGGGGGGGGGAGGAGGAGGAGGAGGGGGAGGAGGAGGAGGAGGAGGAGGAGGAGGAGGGATCGGCACCACTCCCTTAGCTCTCAGGTTTCGCGGCATTCTCATTTTCGGACCTGGAGGCCGACTGCCTCCGACAGCGCTTGCGGCGAGCGCTTTTGATGTGGGCCCGCGCTGCCCCTTCCGCTTCGGAAATGTTATTGGATCGGTCATCTCCTCAGCGCAAGCTTCGGGCATGTTGGGTCGACAGGCGTTTGGCGCCAGGCAGTCGGCCCCAAGACGCCCCCTGGTGGGCATCCGAGGGGGCCGACATCACATGCCCTCCTCTGTTTAAGCCAAGGGGTCCAAGACTGCACCAAAAGACCCCAAGAGGGTTTCAACAAAGAGCCCCAAGGGAGCCCCAAGAGGGCCCTCAATGCCACCAGCAGGGTCCCAACAGAGCCTCAAGAGAGCACAAAACGGCCCTATGTGCTGTCAAATTGCGCACTAACGTGCATGCGCGTGCTATGATATGCTACGCCATGGCACGTTAATTCTTTGGTTTGGGGGGTTACGGCGGAAGCGGGGGAGGTGAGTACAATGGCCACTGCGCCAACCCGCCAGGCCCCATCCGCCTAGCCGAAAGGCTGCCGTGGAGCGGCGCGGCGGCGGGGCCACCTCAGCGGGCCGCAACGGCCCGCTGGCGTGCTATTTGTTCTTTTGTGGTCCTCTAGCGGCCTTGCTGGGGGCGAGGGTCGCGGGCAAGTGGGGTTGCCACGGGTACCCTCAAAAGGAGGGTGGCGGTTCGGGGGAGGAGGAGTACGGAGGACATTACTTGTTTGCGTTTCGGGTTCCCCCCTCGCGTTTTGATGTAATGTTAAGTACGTGGCATGATTATGGTTCGTAATGCTTGTGTTCGTAGAAGTAGAAGTGAGAGTAGTAGCATTAGTAGCAGTAGTAGCAGTTGTACTAGTAGTAGTAGTAGTAGTAGTAGTAGTAGTAGTGATAGTAGTAGTAGTAGTAGTAGTAGTAGTAGTAGTAGTAGTAGTAGTAGTAGTAGTGGCAGTCGTAGTAGTAGTAGCAGTAGGTAGTAGTAGTAGTAGTAGTAGTAGTAGTAGTAGTAGTAGTAGGAGGAGGAGGAGGAGGAGGAGGACTAGTAGGAGTAGTACGAGTAGTAGGAGTAGTAGGAGTAGTAGGAGTATGAGTAGGAGTAGGAGTAGGAGTAGGAGTAGGAGTAGGAGTGGAGTAGGAGTAGTAGTAGTAGTAGTAGTAGTAGTAGTAGTAGTAGTAGTAGTAGTAGCATGAGTAATTATAGTAGTAGTAGTAG